TTAGATATTTAGCGAAATTATTAACTCTTTAAAATATCTGTTAAATTTAGAGGACCGTCTAATATAAATAGTTAGAAGTAATTTGAAAACATTCAGATTGTTGGTGCACAAAATAATCCCGTTCATGTCAAGCAGTGAATAGAATTTAGAAAATTGTTTCTCTTCTAAATTATTCACAAACATAAAGAGCTGGGTTGATATCATGAAGTGACTGATTGATTCTTTATTCCTTCCATCATATTTTTCTTCTCTCTATTTCTTTCTCTACAACTTTATCTTTCCATTACACTTTTTCCATTTATCATTTTATCTCTGTTTTCATGAATTCCCCTCTGTCTTCTGTCCATCTCTCTCTCTCTCCCTCTCTCTCCCTCTCTCTCCCTCTCTCCCTCTCTCTCCCTCTCTCTTCCTCTCCCTCTCCCTCTGCTTGCCCTCGCGCCTGGCCGTGAGTGGCGCGAGGCGTGAGCGTGGCGTGATGTGTGTGCGTGTGCGTGGCAGGCGGCGCTGGACCCGCTGCTGGAGCAGGCGCTGGAGCGGTTCGTGGCGTCGCACGCGCTGCGCCTGCGTATCCCGCCCTGGTCGGGCGGCGGCGACGGCACCTCCATCGACATCTCCGTGCCCGCCGACGAGGTCGAAGGTCAGTTCCCCTCAACCGCATCGGCGCCTTTCTCTATCTGCGACTCTCCCTGGGCCCCAAGCTCTATTGAAGGGGTAATGTACTGAGTGTAAATAAACGATTTTATACGAGGATTCCTTTTATATGTAATTTTCAATAACATAAAATTTCATATAATTTCAAAAAAAAAATCATATTTCACATAAACATAAATATTACATATAAAGAATAACCTCTACCGTATGTAGCCTACATAATGCTTCAGAAATATTTGTTTATGAAAGTTATTTGGAGATAAATCAAATATCAGTCAAAAATTGACGGTATCAGGCACAAGTTTTTGAAGTTCATGGTAATGTGTTTCGAATGAGAATGGAAAAATTACATACTACCTAAGGAAAAACTCTCTAGTAATATCTCTCTAGTAAATATGGAAACTATGTGAAAATGGTTTGGTTTCTGTTCAATAAGTGCACGAAGGCATATCTAGAAGACTAAAATAATCCTGCAAATATTCAGAAAAATATTAACAAATTGATGATTTTAGGATTCCAAAAGACCCGAGACATGGTACGAGGATTCATAAATTTAAAAAAAAACACTTTTTTATTTTCTTCGTGTTTAACGTTAAAAAACAGTTAACATCTAGGCACTATGAGGAGGGAGTGATATACTGACAGTTAGTACAGAGAACATATGCAATACTGCGCTGTGTATTGAGGACCGTAATTACGTAGGTATTCCCAAAAAATTATCACGGCCTTATTCCTTTTTACGAAACATTCTCATTATGTTACCGGACAATTTTCTGTGGCCGCTGTTCAGTGGAATTGTCCATGTTACCGTCTACTCTGTCCGGCTCAAAAGGTAAGGACTGTAGGCGGTGACCAAGTCCGTAGAGCCGAAGGCTGCAGGTTCGACACTTCAAAGTGCCAATGGACGTACCATGACACTCCTTCCTCTTCGCGGATCCAACAAATGCCGTCGCGAGAGGCAAGCGAAAGAAAACCCGTTGTCGCGCTGGGAACCGTTTAATTCCATACGGCGCGCGAGTTCTTCAGGTTCAATAGCCTTTGACTGCTTTCTTCGGAGATAAGGGAAAAATAAAAGAATATACACCTTACGCGTATTGCAAAAGTTGAGTCATGAAGTTTGACGGCGATTCGGTTGGGTGCGCACAAAAATAATGACAAGCGAAGCGAGTCTATAATATGCCGTATTGTAGTTGTATAACGATGAAATCTCAAAATGGCTTTCCGCACAGTTAGCTGTAGCCTTTTACGACCTGAAATGACTTTAATGTAAGTGTACTCTCAATAAATGTACACCTTTGCTGTGATACTGTGGCTCGCATTGTATTTCTCAATTGAAAAAAAAAAACAACTTGAAATTAGTACCGTACCACAAACGAATCTAAAATATAAAACGTCAATTAATACTGTTTGAAAAATATTCACCACTAACTTTCAGGCTCTTGGAAAGAGCCTCGTTAAACATTCGACGGAGATGAAAACATTAACCATTAAAGTAGTTTTTGCAGTAAGGTGATGTCTTGAATTGTGCGAAACTGGGGTAGAATTCCTCTAAAAATCCCAACATCGCGAAGCTACTCATTGTTCCCTCAATGACTGTAAGAACGTGAGGTTGTCAGTTGTGAGGTGACAACGTGAGGTCAAAGACCCGGAAAGGTTGAAAGGCTCACACATTGAGAATGACATAATATCCTTAGCGACGGACGTCTCATGCTAATTAATGACCCTAATAATGCTCTGTATTAAAAAACGGTTCCAGTTAATATAAAAATAAATATAATGAAAATATATCTCAATTTTCTTCAAACTCGTAGAAAGAGTTTAAAATCTTATAATAAGAACCTAAAGAATAATTTTATTTGAACGTAAGAGTTAAAGAATTCGATGAAAGATTTTAAATCCTCTGAAATCTTCCGAATACGAAACCCGAATTTATTCAATAATAGTTTACTTTCAATTACAAGAGTTTAAATATTTCCACAAGGAGTTTTGCGCTTCCAGCTGTAGAGAAGGAGTCTTATCTGTATTAAAAGATGTTTTGACCTTTTTTTTAAACGATAAAGTAAATGCTGAAATGTCTTCAATGTGCGGAGCCGCCTTCAGGGGGAAGTGCAGAAGCGCGCGCCTTGGCAATGCCATAATGCTGCGCGCGCTGAAGCGTGGCGCCGCGGCGCGGGTGGCGTGCGAACCTGCCGCTTGGCGCCGCGCGCGGAGGGCTGTGGGAGACGGTGGGAAAGGCCGCGAAGCGCCGAGGGCCATTAGTCGCCCCGGGTGGGAGGGGAGCGCCAAGAGGCGTGCGCGAAGCCGGCAGGCGGGTCAGGCGCAGCACGCAGGCGCCCGAGGGCAGTGGGGCAGGGCAAGGGAGCAGGGGAGGGAAGAGAAGGGGAGGAGAGGAGGAAGGAGCAGGATGAGAAGGGCAAGAGTCGTGCGCGCACGGCGGCAAGCAGGCTCCCGAGCGCTGTGGTGCACGGCATAGGGAGAAGGAGAGAGATGGGGAATAATCAGAGAAGAACAAAAGGAAGAAGGAGTAGGGAAAGGAAGTACTAGGAGGAACAGGCAAGAATAAGGTGGTGGGCGAAGGCGGTAAAACCAATGATAACATAGAAAAGCAGGGGGACAAAGAGAAACAGACAGGGACTGGAGAAAAGGAAGCGGGAAAGAAAGGAGTAAGAAAGGGGAAGAAGGGGGAAGAAGCTCAGTTAGAGAATACAAGACTACATAGGGAAGGTCGGAAATAGGAAGAACGGATACATCAGAGAACAGAAGAATCACGAACGAATATGGAGGAACAGGGAGCAGGAAAGGGCAGAACAAACACAAGTGAGGTACAGAACAGTGGGAATCAAAGCAGGGAAATGAGATAAAATAAAAGAGAGATGAAAATAAAACTGGTGGAAATACAGACGAGGGGAGGTCAACACAGGAGAGCAGGAGCAGGGGGATTCCAGAAGCAGAAAGAAACAGAATAAAACGAGAAATAAGGGAAGCTGAATTACCAGGGCGAGAGAGAGTATGCATGGTAGAAGAATGGAGAGAGTAGGTAGACACAAGGTAATAATGCAGAGATGAAGAGGGAGAAGTATATGAAGCATGGGAGATGGGGAATAAAGAATCAGGAGAAAACATGTGGCGAAATGAAAGAGCAGTTGAGGAGAAAGAAGTAGGGTATGGATGGGAAGGAAAATGTTGCACTGAAGAAAACGAGAGAGAGAGAGAGAGAGAGAGAGAGAGAGAGAGAGAGAGATGAACCAGCAGAGAAAGGATAAGCGAAACCTGGATAAAGGGGAGAGCAGGAAGACTGGGGTGGGAGGGGGAAGAAAATATTTGAATTCCTTCCAGAAATTGAGGAAACGCCAAATCATCATTAGCTATTCATTTATTCATTTCTATGTCGGTCAACTTCCCTCCGTGTAACACAGTGACCTGCATGACGCAGAGACTCAGACATACTGTTCTCAATCACATATGACGAGTACTCGTGAATTTTAAAGGAGGTCGAAAACTCTTTCAAAAGACGCCATCCAATTTTTTTAGCGGTTTAAGCTCGCACTTCATGTGGATGCAAACCGTACATATGGATTGAACAATAGAAAATCGTCGGTGAAACATGAATTGACAGACAAATACCCGTACGTAAGATGAAAAATCCAACATCAACAAATATCAATAGAGATAGAACAGAGAAAACAAGATCACGGGTACTTCATACGAAACTAGTTTGGAAAGAAATGGTTTAATAGCTAGCATTTGCAGCATTTTATATTTTCGAAATGTTTACAAGTCTCACGGGTTTAGTGATGGGGAAGAGGATGTCAAGTTATTTCCTGAGTAATCTGCGATGAGCCACGCCCCCACGTCCCGAACGATTTTCTCGCCGGACGCCGTCCCCTTCAAACGCAAAGCGCTCGTGACACGGCCGCCAGTAATAATTTCCCTGGCGTTTGCGGGGCGACCCTGGGACGTGGGAGAGTGACGCAGCAACGGCCCACGGCGACGCCCTCACTGCCTCCCACGCCCTTACCATCCCATCTCACTGACCCCGTCCCACCGTTCACTGGCTTCGACCCCACACCGAAGGCGTGTCGATCCCATTTCGTCCTCGCAACTGCACACCACGTTTACCATCTCCGTGCGCTCGCTACCAGTTCTTGATTGATTGACTGATTGATTGATTGTTAGTGATTCCGTGAGCGTTAATTGCTGAGGTAACTAGTCCCGTAAGTGTAGTGAATGTTTGGCACGGGGGTTGGCGTTGGTCTTCCTCTGCTGGATGGCGACATCCAGCGTCAACCTACCATCGGCTAGCGGGGTTTCCCTCAACCAGATATCACCCTTTTAGTAGGGCACCGCCCCAGTCCGGACAAAATCGAAGCGTCCGACCGGTCTCGCGGCAATTGTGGTAGTCTAGAGCACGAACATGTAAGGGGGTGAGGATAGGTCAAGGAGGAGAAAGGGAAGATCGCACGTGGTTCGTTTGTTAGACATTCGCCTGGTGTTAATTGGAAAAAATACGAAAAACTACTGATTAGAGCCACCGGACAAAGAATTATTCTCCAGACAGCGACTGATTTCGACCTAGTAATATATGTGGGGTCGAAAATCGTGCCATCGTCGGGGCTCGAACCTAGAACCTTCTGGTCAGTGAGACTGAACCAGATCATCTTCATCGACCGAACCTTCCCTCGCTTTCATTTTCTAACTCGACCCTCTTTCCCTCTCACATCCCTCGCCTGTCCTGTTTTTGTCTGTTCACCCCTTATTCCCTGTGTCCCTGTCCATACTCCTACCCCTGCCCGTACCTATCCCCACCTCTATTCTCGCATTTCTTTTCATTCGCGCTTGTAGTCTGCCCCAAGTCTTCCCCAACCACGGCTCTGTCCCTTACCCTTCATCAAATTACTACGTCAAATATCCATTACATTTTTCTCGTGTTGCTTTCATTTAAACTTAACTACATTTTGAGAAGACATTGTTCCATTTCTTCACAGTAAATTAATATAAATGATTTTCAATTGAAGAATATTGATCATATTCATTTGCTATATTGAACGTCTTTTATATTTTAATGAAGGTGCTTAATTCTCATTCAAACGAAGCCTGAATAAACAGAAGGATTTAAAGGGGGGATTAAAGAGAGGGGAGAACTGGCCTCGAATCACAAATCGTCAAAACCATTGCTGTTTCTGCTGTCTTCTGTGTTCAATTCCTGACCCTTTCCCCGTATTTCCCTTCATCGGCCCGCCTATGACATTCACGCCACCCCCGCCGTCACCTCTTGACCGGCGCTACCTGACCACGCCCACCGCCACCGGCTCTCCCGCCAACGCATGCGCCGAGCTAAGAGGCTCTGCTTCCACATAGACTTCCCCCTCCTTTCCCCTCACTTCCCCCTCCCCTCGCCGTGCGGCCGCTCGCGCCAGGTCATGCACCGCGGTCACGCGCAATTTGGAGGCCAATTACGCCCCTGGGCGGCCACGGGTCTGCCTCCGTCGAGTTCACAGTGCGCGAAGTTGTGTTTTTTCTCTCGCAAGCGAACCGAGGGCAGCGTTGCGAGCAGCAACAATTTGTGTCGCGATTATATTTATGTTTCCTCTTCGTCTTCTTCAATGCTGAGCTGTGTCTCCGCAGGCACTTCTTTCTTTGCCACGTGCAATGCCAATCTACTGCCAGCGGAACCGCCAACGCTACCATGAAGAACTTGCCTTCTCATCTATTAAAGTCTTTAGCTTCTTAGCTTTTTTCCTCGTCAGAGAGGTATTTCAGAAAACTTAATTTTTCGTGTAATGATTTTAGTTACAGACGGATTTTAATGTAACTGTATTTTACCGTTACTCATTTTGTGAAAACTGTTTTTTAATAAGCAGCATAATAAGTATTGACAGTAGCCGTTTAACCTCTGAAGGTACGCGAAGTTTCCCAGGCTTCTGAAATTACTCAACTTTAAAATATATTTCTAGTGCGTGTATCCGAAATTACTTGGTCTACTTACCTTTCCCGAGAAAAAAGCAGGATCTTCGATTTTCTGAAAAGTAAGTTATCGGAGAAGAGGTAATGCATTTGCTTTCCACAATTTTATTCCAATTTCAATTATCTGTTATCGACGCTAAACTACCACACGATAAAAACAGTGTGAGAGTATTTAAAATTGAAGCAAATATTAAGAGTAAAATCGAAATAATCAGGATTATTTGAACGCCATGTTTTCCACATTTCACTTTCCAGACAAGTCGTTCTGTAACTCAAATCAAAAATAGTTTACACAAAGTGTCTTTTTACTCTTTAGATTGAAGATAAAATGCACTGTGCAAAACCGTATAGTACTCTAGTATATGTAGATGAACCCTAAGATTCATTTCTGTTTTCAAAACCCGTGAGGAAATCTTGTAGAAGAGGGGTCAGTCTTTCATCCCCTCTTTGCGTTGTGCGCAGGACGTGGTAAGAAGAAGAAGGGAATGAAGAAGATGATGATGATGATGGGCATGATGTTGATGGCCAAGATGGCGGCGCTGATGCCGCTGATGCTGCTCATTGCCAAGATCAAGGCCATCAAAGCGCTGCTAATGGGCTCCGTGGCCCTGCTGCTCACCAAGGTGCAGCTCTTCAAGAAGCTTTTCATGAGCAAACAGGTACGCACTGCGATTGCGCTCACCACTTAAACAATGCTTCATTGCGCNNAACAATGCTTCATTGCGCTCACCACTTAAACAATGCTTCATTGCGCTCACCACTTAAACAATGCTTCTCGTGATTCATTACGGGTACTGCAAAAGTAAATACAATTGGTATCTTTGTATTGGTATATTTGTGCATTTCTTTCGTTTATGTGGTTACTTTAGGTGGTTGCTCCCTTTATTACATCGGAAATCAAATCAAAAGACATTTATTCATCGATTAAATTAATAGGCGAGCGACTTGGAACGCGTGAGGGCAATTTTTAATTTTATAAACTAATTTTATGAAATAAATTAGTCACAAATACTTCTAATATATAAAACTTCAATCAAACTACTAATCAAATGTAGTAATTATTGCTTATAATTGATAATATAACGAATTTAACTTTGCAACTTAACAAAGCATCGATGTAAAATATCAACACAAACGGTATCATACTTTCCAAAAATCTGTCGACAAGAGAAAAATATGCCTAGTATCCCTAAAAGAAATAATACCATTGTTTCGGCAAGTCCATAAATGAAAAACCAATTAATTTAAAAAAATTACTTCACGCTGAGATTTCGTTTTTCATATCTTTAACATAATTTGTAACTTTCAATTAAACAAATAATACTGAATTAAGTTGAAAAATATGTATTATGAGGAAGATAGGTTTAAAATGTTAATGCGTCTTAAATGCATGTAAAACAATTGATAATTAACAATTAATGATAATTTGTTTCAGCTCAAAATACTTTTATCGAAGCATTTTTACATTTTCTTTGTACTTAATAGTTTTAAAAAATTAAATTCATTTGTTGACAGCTGAAACACACACAAATGAAACTAGCAATAATATCAGGGTGGCCAAGAATTTCCTTACAAATCTTTCTTCTACTTTCCCAGTGAATTTATCTTCTTCTCAAAGAATGTTTTTAGCATTTCAACCTACTTGCAAATAAATTATATAAATGCAAGACTATATATTACGAATTAATCAAATCTCATATTTCTTCTTTAAAAACAGGTACATCCGCTAAACAAATAGAAGCTGTCCAAAAATAATGAATTTATGTTATTTAAGTAATAATATAAAGTCGTTTTATTGTCTCAACATATCTGTAACGTCAACATTTTCTTGGAAAAATGTTGATTTACCCCAACTTTTGCACATCAGTGGAATGTCTTGACGCTTTTTATTTTCTCAAAATGAAGAAGCATAATTCATTAACCATTTTGTTTCCAAACCACACCGACTCATTCTTTTCCAAAACACGCCCATCCATTACGTCTTACTACATCACATGTACTTTTCACATGACTCGAACAGCGTCTGACGATGTGTGTGTGTGTGTGTGTGTCGCAGGGCGGCGGTCACGGGGGCGGCGAGGAGAAGCACATCGTGGTGGTGCACGCTGACGGGCACGGCGGCGGCGGCGGCCACGGCGGCGGCGGCGACAGCTACGGCCCCAGCGGAGGCGGCGGCGGCGGAGGCCCGTGGGCGTCGAGCGGCGGACACGGCGGTGAGTGAGCGCACGCGACGGCACGGGCACGCACGAGACACCTCCGAATGTCCACCATCGGGGCGCAACCCGTTCTGGTTCTACATTTGGCGTACTCGGAAATATGTCAAGTAATTCCCGGTTTAATATTTTGTAAACATCTCTCAATAATGTACTTGAAAATGAATATTGATAATATCAAGCATGATAATAATTCGGCAACTACTGGCAGCTCAAATAAAGAGTTAATGGCTAAAAAAGCATGCCAAATTTCTAGATGCATTTTCTGTGCAACTGTTAATCGGCTCTCATTTTTCATGTCTAAAACACCTCATAATAAATAAAGTTCTCGTTCTACATTTGACGTACTCGGAAATATGTCAAGTAATTCTCTGTTGAATATTTTCTAAACATCTCTAAATAATGTACTTAGAGAAGGATGGGATGGAAAGATCGCAAGATTCGTGGCCCGTTTGTTAGGTACTGCGCCGGCATTCGCCTGGTGTTGATTGGAGAAACCACCGATATGTGCAGTTGCCCGCTAGAATTCTTCTCCGTACAGCGACTGAATTCTATCTAGACATCGTCGGTACTCTAACTCCAGGATCTCCTGGTCTGAGGCACTACAGTGACATCGGCTGATGCCCTGAGCCACCTCTCCCGGTGTGTTGTGACTGTGTGTGACTTGTGTGTGTGACTGTGTGTGCTGTGTGTGACTGTGTGTCAGTGTGTGTGTGTGTGTGTGTGTGTGTGTGAAAAGGCTTGCGCTGCAGAGTGGCCCCGTGTGAGGGCAGTCTCACATTTCAGCCAGTTTAACATCCTGGAGCACTTATCCCACCCTCTCATGCCGACGCTCTGCAGTGGCTCTTAGGACCATCGCAGCGTACAACATCACGGCCACTTTCCACTGAAACCCTTCAGTACCTGGCGACATTTAGAACCTTTTACATGTAGGGAAGAGGGAGGGCAAAGAAGCATACATCGCAGTTCGTCGCTCTTGCAGTCCGCTTTGAGAGTGCCTTGCTGGCCGCTGGCAGGCGTACTCGCCCTCACACATGTACGATAAAGCAACGGGGAAGGAATATTTTTGGTTATGAAATGTTTGATGTAGTGGAGTTAAGTTAATTTTGGATGTTTGTGCCGAGAATGCTTGCACTCTCGCGGTAGACATTGAAGCCTAGCAAGCTGCCGCGGGCCATATAAAATATTTTGTTTTGATTATCGTAGTAAATTCATTTGTTTGTATACCTGAAAACAAACCTCAAAATGTAGCAGAAAGATTATATATTTTTTCCGGACCGTTTCATACTTTTTTTAGTAATCCAGAAAACTGTATGTCTGCAGCGTTGCAAATATGAAGTTAATTGACAATTTTCAAGGCGTTTAAATTATTAAGTTGAGAAGAAATAAATTAAAGGTACAATTAAAGCGAATTTCGGGCAGTCATGCTGACTACACTCCACTTATCGACTCATTAATTAACATCATACTTCGTTACAAAACATCGTACCATCTTCTCATAAACTACTTCATTCTGTTACTTTTACTACAAAGAATTATTAAAAATTAAAGTAAATCGCTTTTACATTTCCCTTTAATCTTCTGACATTTATATCGTACTTCAGACTTCTTACTAAAATAGAATTGAGTTAAGAATGGCTACTTGGCAACAAAACATGCTGTAAAATATGAAGGGTTTCTTTCAAGATCTCGGTTTCCTATATCGTACCTTCTTGTCGTAAACTACTTTATGCTCTTACTTTTACTACAAAGAATTATTAAAAATGAAAGTAAATCGCCTTTACATTTCCCTTTAATCTTCTGACATTTATATCGTACTTCAGACTTCTTACTAAGATAGGACTGAGTTAAGAATGGGTAGTTGGCAACAGAACATGCTGTGGGAAATGAAGGGTTTCTTTCAAGATCTCGGTTACTTTGAGATGAGGACAAAGAGTGCACGTCTTTCTGAATAAGCAGCACTCCCGACACTGAATGAGGGCGTCCTCGTTTCCTGCGTGACGAGGCAGATGTTTGCGGAATAAGCAGAAGCAGGAAGTTAGATTACGCACTTGACTGAGCTCGTAGGATGAATTACGGTGCAAAAAGAAGTAGACTCCATGAAGAAGTACACCCTTTAGAAAGTGCCCGTGCTCTATAGAAACCGGGTGAAACCACCCGGGGAAGTCACAGTTTACGTTACTGAGTGAATCAGCAATGTACAGCTTATTTGTAACAGATGTGTCACTTCAAAATAAGGCCAAAACCTATTATCTTTCCACGTGTCTTATTCACTGATACTAGGCTTTAACGCTTTATTTCCTAGTTAAACGAAATACAATATTTTAAAGTAGAAGAGTAGTTAAGAAAGAGAAAGGTGAAAACTACAACGTCATACTGTATCCACACCGTAAAAAATGGTTATTTGATTAACAAAGCCTTTAAAAAATTAACTTTTTTCCGCAGTTAATGCAATTTACGTGTTTCAAAGTTTATTAATGGTCTTACTTTTACTTGAAAACATTTTAAAATATTCAAATTTGGTTTCCGTCTCAAAAAAAAAACGAAAAATGTAGTTATTTCATTATTTTACCGTACATTGTAAATATAGAAACAAATTAGGGGTAATAATAAGACTTTTGTATAAATGCAACAACGACCGACAGTTTCAGAAAATTAAAAAATCGCTAAATATGAATGATATTAATGCATTTCGTTCCAAACCCTCGAATACCTCGTCAGTTTGAACGTGGGTCTCTCCTATACATCGTATTCGATGTAACAGACTGCCATGACCAACACAGGGATTCACACACACCACCTACCATTAATGACGTATCGCAGCACAGGATTGGCTGATAGTGAGTGAGTAAGAAGCAAAGGCTTTAAAAAAATGAATATTTTTTTAGATAAGACATCTCGATTCTTATGATTAAACGCTATTGATGTTAATGCTTGTATTCGATTAGAGCTATTAATGCTACATATGAAAGGGACACTAAAAGTTTCGACATTGAGGGTCGAATGATATTTGAATGATTAATGCGCCACCAGAGAGTAGCACTTAAGAAGGTAAAAGGCAATTTGAAAACAGGAAGGTTCCTCTCTGTCAAAAAATGCCAAAAGCCTCAACCAGCGATACAAGTAACATTCACAGCACCAAAGCCTCACCACACATACTGGTATATTCAGTACCTTCCATAATGTCCCAGACACAGTAAACATTTTTGTGGAAGCTACGAATTTCTCTTATCTCTTCGGTAACAAAACTCTGAGAGCGATTTCGAAAATCATTCCCGAGAATTGAATCCAGGAATCGATTCTGGTAGTCAAATTGATTCTGGGAATCGAACGTGGGAATTTCTCTCGAGAAGCCAACCAGATAATCGATTCCTAAATTCGTACCCAGGAATTGACCCCCAAAATCAATTGCGAGAATCGAACTCGGAAATATATTTCAAGAACCAAACTCGGATATTAATCTCCAGAATCGAATGAGAGAATCGATTACGAACATCAATCGAATGAATCTGGTTATCGGAATCGATTGCGAGAGTCAAACCAAGTACTTGATTATGTTAAGGGAGAACAGTAGCAATGAATCGTTCAGCTACTGTAAAATTTAAAACAAAATGAAAAAACAGTAGTCACGGTAATCGAAGCCTTGATAATCGGAGATTCCCGGCAATCCGAGATGACGAGATGAGCGCCAACTCACCAAACAAGCGACAATGAGCAAGAAATGACTTTTGGATGGTTGGCAACATTGCGTCGATGGTCACGTATGCGGCAGTTGGTGCAAGTGTCAATCTGTCTACACAATAATGTGACCGCTTCGCGTCATGTATGTACGTATCTGCAATTTTAATAGTCTCTGCGCATTAAATTTGACTTTGTTGTACATTGCAGTTGAAAATTTCATTATGTATTTATCTTTTTTCCGTGTAATCCAAGATGTTTTAAAATCGGAGGTGCCATCAGTCCCAATTTCCGCGGATTATCGCAGCTACTACCCGAGTGGTCAGGTTTACTAAAAGCTTTGTGTCGCTTGCAGGCGGCGGCGGAGGCTACGGGGGCGGCGGCGGCGGCGGCCAACGGCGGCGCCACGGCGGGAGCAGCAGGCTGACGGCCCCGAGCGGCGGCAGCTGGTCGGCGGGCGCCGGCGGCCGCGGCGGTGGTGCGGCCGGGGCACTACCGTTCGGCGCGCTCGGTTCGCAGCGGTCGAGCGCCCACACGCGGGCGTACGAGGGCGGCGCGCGCCCGGGGCACACGCCTGACGGTGACGGTGACGTGACGGCTGCCCCCCACGACGATCACGGCGACCGACCGCGAGTGACGCCGCAGACGTAGGAAGAGGACGACACTTACATGGGCGAGGGAGGTTGTCGATTGCCGCTGCAACCAATGTGACATCCCGTGCACGAGTTGCCGTGTGGGCATCATCGCCGCCTCACACGCACCCCTCGACTTCGTCGCGACGATCGACCAGCGTTCGACCTGCGGACAAGTGAGACACGTGACCTTGGACTCTCGAAGCACTTGATACCGCGACAGACCTTTCCGACACCGCGCAACTGACCAACTCACCGATGGAACCCAACCCCCTGCGACGGGGTGGGCGCAACCCCGAAGGACGATGAAGCAGCGACGGTAATTACGGGCGACGGTAAATCACGGTTACGGCGGACGGCTAACGGGTCCCTTGCCGCCCCACGCGCGCATGTGGGGACGGGATGGGACGGGGAAGGGAGGGGGTGCTGTGTCATTCCATTACGCCTAGGAGCTCACGCCGATTCGATGACTCACGATAGCTGTGGGGGGTCGAGTCTATAGCACGGCTGGCACCAGAGCACATCCGAATCTACCTTACCTACAAGTATTTCTTGACTTTAGGTACTTTTAATTATGCAAGTCTTGCATAGTGCTTCATTTGAACTGACTGCGCTAAACTTCCTTTCACAGACGAGAAATTTCCAATATTTTTTATTGGACTCTGAAACAGTCATTTTATAATACG